TCGGATTCATGGCCAAACAGCTCGGTGAGTGGCCAGGGGCCAGGGACGGCTGGCAACATACAGGAATTGTTTAGATAATTTGGGAGTCATTTTGAATTGACCGTATTTGTCTATTAGACGACAAACGTCGCAACTTCGAACACATTTTCGTGCTGTACCGCGTGTCGGAAAAAGTTTGTTGTTGGATATTGGATAATTAACGTATCGTAATTCGTATTAGCCTATTTACATCATCAACTTTAAAAAGAAATGTATCGCGATCAGTCTTGTGACGTTTTTCCCGTTGTGACCGGCTCTGCAGGTAAGGAGGTGAAGGACGTGATCGCCTCCGGCCAGGGCCTGGCCTTCATCGCCTACCCGGAGGCGGTGGTACATATGCCCATCTCGCCGCTCTGGGCCATCCTCTTCTTCGCCATGCTGATCACACTGGGCCTGGACTCGCAGGTGAGTGTCCGCGCGGCGGCCACACCCGTACCTACAGTGTACCATCAATGTAACTGCTACACACACTGGTGGACGGTGGCAATGAGCTAGCGCGACGTGCGAACCCGCTGAGCTGTGCTCGGCGCCCGCGGACGAGTCCTGTCGGCGCAGTGACGCCCCCCCCCCGTCTGTGGGCGCAGTGCCCCCCTCCTCGTCTGTGGGCGCAGTGACGCCCCCTCCCCGTCTGTCGGCGTAGTGACGCCCCCCCGTCTGTCGGCGCAGTGAGTGACGCCCCCCGTCTGTCGGCGCAGTGACGCCCCTCCTCGTCTGTGGGCGCAGTGACGCCCCCTCCCCGTCTGTCGGCGTAGTGACGCCCCCCCGTCTGTCGGCGCAATGCCCCCCTCCTCGTCTGTCGGCGCAGTGAGTGACGCCCCCGTCTGTCGGCGCAGTCGGGGGTGTCACTCACTGCGCCCACAGACGGGGGGTCTGTGGGCGCAGTGAGTGACGCCCCCTACCCGTCTGTCGGCGCAGTGAGTGACAACCCCCGTCTGTCGGCGCAGTGACGCCCCCGTCTGTCGGCGCAGTGAGTGACACCCCCGTCTGTCAGCGCAGTGAGTGCCCTCCCCCGTCTGTTGGCGCAGTGAGTGACGCCCCCCGTCTGTCGGCGCAGTGAGTGCCCCCCTTCTGTCGGCGCAGTGACGCCCCCGTCTATGGGCGCAGTGACGCCCCTCCCCGTCTGTTGGCGCAGTGACGCCCCCGTCTGTGGGCGCAGTGCCCCCCTCCTCGTCTGTCGGCGCAGTGAGTGACGCCCCCTTCCCCGTCTGTGGGCGCAGTGAGTGACGCCCCCTCCCCGTCTGTCGGCGCAGTGAGTGACACCCCCTCCCCGTCTGTCGGCGCAGTGAGTGACACCCCCTCCCCGTCTGTCGGCGCAGTGAGTGACGCCCCCTCCCCAGATGTCGGCGCAGTGACGCCCTCCCGTCTGTGGGCGCAGTGACGTCCCCGTCTGTCGGCGCAGTGAGTGACGCCCCCGTCTGTCGGCGCAGTGACGCCCCCGTCTGTCGGCGCAGTGACGCCCTCCCGTCTGTCGGCGCAGTGAGTGCCCCACCCCCACCGTCTGTCAGCGCAGTGACGCCCCCTCCCCGTCTGCCGGCGCAATGAGTGCCCCCGTCTGTCGGCGCAGTGAGTGACCCCCCCCCCCGTCTGTTGGCGCAGTGAGTGACGCCCCCGTCTGTCGGCGCGGCGCAGTGAGTGACGCCCCCCCGTCTGTCGGCGCAGTGACGCCCCCCGTCTGCCGGCGCAGTGAGTGCCCCCGTCTGTCGGCGCAGTGAGTGACGCCCCCCGTCTATTGGCGCAGTGACGCCCCCCGTCTGTCGGCGCAGTGAGTGACGCCCCCGTCTGTCGGCGCGGCGCAGTGACTGACACCCCCCCCCCGTCTGTCGGCGCGCAGTTCACCATGACGGAGACGCTGACGACGGCGCTGTTTGACGAGTGGCCGCAGCTGCGCAGCAGGAAAGCCGCCGTGGTGATGGGCACCTCCGTCATCGGCTTCATCCTCGGCCTCAGGTGAGCGACCGGCAGGGCTGCACGGAGCGACATGGAGGTCTGCGGTGAGCGACGTGGACGGTTTTATGGTCTGTGGTGAGCGACATGGACGGTTTTATGGTCTGTGATGAGCGCCCGGTCGCGACCTGTCCATTATCGGGTCCCGCAATCGCTGACCGCCGGCCCCGCGCCCCCTCTGTTCCAGCATGACTGCCAACGGCGGCATCCTGATGTTCACGCTGATCGACTGGTACGCCAGCTCGTGGTCGCTGCTACTGCTAGCGCTGATCGAGGTCGTGCTCGTGGCCTGGCTGTATGGCGCCGAAGACCTGCTCGAGAAGATGCAGACCGAGATGGACATCCCGATCCCCAGGTTCCTCTACTACTACTGGTTCGTCATGTGGAAGTTCGTGACGCCGCTGGTTCTCTGCGTGAGTACTCATGTTATTTATATGAAACTTGAGGACTGAGCAGTGAGCACCGCTACTCGAAACAAAGAATGCCTCCAACCATGGTCCGATCATAAGACGTTCTCCAGACGGGTCATTTTCGCATCGTCTTCAAACTCGGCTTTTAGGCCATGTACCAACTGTCGTTCGCAAGGTCGTATATAGTTAGGGTCTTCGGAGCGTCATGGGTTAAGGAGGCATATCGCTATGCCCCTCACGCTGACTTTGGTTAGGTGAGCTCCGCGCTGACCGTCTGCCCGCCCGCCCGCGCTGACCTCCCGTCCGTCCGTCCGTCCGCCCGCGCTGACCGTCTGTCCGCCTGCCGCCCGCGCTGACCGTCTGCCCGCCCGCCCGCGCTGACCTCCCGTCCGTCCGTCCGCCCGCGCTGACCGTCTGTCCGTCCGCCCGCCTGCGCTGACCGCCCGTCCGTCCGTCCGCGCTGACCGTCTGTCCCTCCGCCCGCCTGCGCTGACACCCGTCCGTGCGTCCGCAGCTCATCACGATCATGACGTTCGTGCAGTACGAGCCGGCCTCGTACGGCTCGGGGCCCTCCAAGATCGTGTTCCCGCCCTGGGTGAACCTGCTCGGCTGGCTCATGGCCGCCACTCCCATCGTCATCGTGATCGGCGTCGGCATCTACGTCTACCACAAGAAGGTCCGGAGCGGAGAGGTATACGTAAGTAGTCGGCTGGCGCAGCATCGCGGTGGTACATACGGTTCGTGCTCCCGCCCCGTCCTCCCTCACGCCGCTGTGGTACTGACGCCCCACACGACCCGGGCTCTCTGTGAGGCGTATCCTTCCACTGCACTGGAAGTCTAACGCCGGCGAGCTGGGGAACCGTGGACCTGCTGACTGACCCCCCCCCCCCCGCATCCCCAGCCCTAGATGGATCTGCTGACTGACGCCCCCCCCAGCCCCGTATATGGCCATGTTTACTGACACCTCCCTCTCCGCCCCCCCCCCCCCACAGTCCTGGATGGCCCGGTTTACTGACGCCCCCTTCCCCCCCACACAGTCCTGGATGGACCTGCTGCGCCCGACGGACGAGTGGTGCCCCGCCTCGGAGCGGTCCAAGATCCAGATGCCAACCAACGGCTCCATGAAGGACCGGTCGGGCGCAGAGAACCCCAGCTTCGTGCCGGAAAAGTGAGCGCCGCCGGCGGCCACTGCGGCTGGAGCGCGACCGGCGGGCGGCCGCCCAGCTGGGACCCCGGGCCCGCGCGACCGGCGGGCGGGCGGCCGCCCCAGCTGGGACCCCGGACTGCGCGACCGGCGGGCGGGCGGCCCAGCTGGGACCCCGGGCTGCGCGACCGGCGGGCGGGCGCCCCAGCTGGGACCCCGGGCGCCGCCGACCTGAAGTCGTGAACACGACGCTCCAGACTTCGTCCCACTCCGTCCGAGCCACGCGGTTAATTCCGTCCGGGCCGCAGTAAGCCCTATTCTATTCCGTCCGGCCGAAGGGCGCCCCATTGTACTCGGTTCGGGCCGTCACTGCGCCCAATTGTGCGGCCTTAGGGCGCCCTAGTGTACTTCGTCCGGCAGAAAAGGTTTATTCTGTCCGGGCCGACACTGCGCAATCGGCTCAGTTCTGCTCGGCGTTGCTCAGCGTTGCTCTTAGTCCCTCCCACGTCGTCCCGTGAGCAGCCGAACCGCGCGGACGTCGCGGTCCCATCACGCTCAGCCCAGTACGACGAGCTGTGATCCTTTTACACGTAATCGAGTGTATCGTCCCGCCGCGGCGCTGCTCCGTGGGGCGGAGAGTGGCGGAGGGGGCCGTCTGAGCGACTGAGCCGGCTCTCCGCGCGTGTTGGTCGGCCGCGCGGGTAGTGGTACCGACGAGCGCCAGTGCATCCTGTAGCTGATCAGGTCATATTGCACAATTATGTACTGTGCTTGGTAGTGTTTGACTAGTGTCGACGAGTATTTTAGAGCGATTTATGGCACCGGTGACGGGTGCGACGACAGTAGTGATAGAGCGTGCATCCCCATGTTAATCGTCCATTCATTCGTTGCGCTGGCGCTGCGTCTGACCACGCCGGCGCAGCGGCCGCGCTGTTCGCGACTCGGTGACACGTCGGCAGCGATCTGTAAACGGTGCCGCCCTCGGACAACAGAGTTCACCTGATTATCGAGTTCCGTTCGGCTGACCGGCGCCGCCACCGCGTAATGTCGCTGCACGCGCCTCTCTTTCCATGATATTGATCATTGATTCTGTCCTCAGCGGTTTTTGCGTAACACGCGTCCTTTTAGCGCGGCGACTCTGCGTTTTTATCACGGATGAATGTACAGATATCCATCCGCCTTAGATAGCTCGAGGTTACGAGGTTTTATATGTATACGCCCGCGATTCAAGTATCCCATGCAGATATATTTTTCAGGGGATGTAGATTGTGGCGGACACCCCATGTCCCTTCAGGGACGGCGCCCGGCTGACCCCCAGTTTCCGTCCATCGCTCCATAATACTAACGCTCTGGTGAAGTCTGAATCTGCTCGACCTCTTGCGATGTGTTCGTACCTCGGCTGACCTTCTCTGTCTGTGTTGTATATTATCAGTGCAAAAGAACAATACATGTGCTACGACGAATGCTGCGGCATGTCAGATGGAGAGTGACAGAGGCCCTACCGGAGGGCGGGGCTGGGTATCGGGACCAGCGGGGGAGCGGTGCGGGACGGGGCCGTAACGGATACGGCTTCCAGCACGGCGCCCATACACCTAACTACACACGGTAACCCCTCCCCGTTCCAACAACTATGGGGCGGGCAACGGGTCTGTGGTGGCCACTGAAACGTACCGGCTGTCAGAGCCTGGTTGGTGATCAGTGGCGTCCTCTCGGAGCCCATCGGCTGTTAGCTCCGAGACGAGAGAATGCGGTCGAGGAGGCCGTTCAACTGACTACATCACGTCGGGTGGTATAGGAAAATTGATTTGTGGCGAAATGCCAATATTAGTGCTGACCACACATTAGGGACATTGCCACGGTGCTCCCGCAACCATTTTTAGTGCGCCCCTGGGGGTAGGAACCTGGAAAGGGCCTTGACCGTCACAGGCGGAGCCGACAGAAACAAAACAGAGGCAAAACGGCCCACAGTATCGTGCAAAACAATTCTGTAATCCGCACTGCTGGCCAGCCCGTCATCTGAGACACGAGGCCCCCGCATTATATGAGGGCTAATTGGATTCACATGACCGACATTTTCCAGGCCCCATTGCAAACAATAGGTAGCAGTGCTCACCGGCTCATGGGCCAATGGCAGTTTTCCAAAATCGTGAGTCTGTGGTCGCAGAGCCTCTGAAGGGCGACGCCGCACCGCAGTCACGGTAACCAGTATCTATCGACGTGCCAGCTCTATACAGCCGCTGGGAGCAGCTGGCTGTTTGTAAACGAGGCACTGAACAACAAACCCGCACCAAGCAGCCCGAGGTGGAGGGAAAAGACCCAGAGATAAAACCGCGGTGCAGCGGGCACAGCCTGCACAGCGGTGTCGACTAAGGCGGCGGGGGTGCCAGCGGCAGCTTCAGGATAGACACAGTGGCAGTGACAGGGGCAGCGGCAGTATGCCTCCATCGAGCCGACTGATCATACAAGTTTCGGTTACAGCACTAATGGCAGCTGCCAGTAAGTCCAGCGACCAATGTAGCCCCCCCCCCCCAAAAAAAAACGCACATCCACCCCCGATGTTGCGTGTTGGTCGGGCCTATTCGTCGATCGGAGTTCCAAAAGCCCAGACCACCGCAGCTTATTGAAATGTACAGTCCTCTGCAAACTGCGTGGTAGGTATTCTTTTTTCGACAAAATTGAGAATATCGCGGATACTATGCTATCGGTCACTCGGAAATCGTAACAGCAAGACGCGCGAAACTCCGCACCTTAGATGTGCATTGCCATCGTATTCATTTTCCATCCAGTTTGGCAACAAAAACCAAAAGTTTGTAGTCGCCCCCAAAACAAACTTTTGCATTTTGTTGCCACACAAAGCATATACTTTGTTTAGTGATAGACCCAATCGAAGGAGTGGAGCATGCTGCCTTTATTTGCAATGAATTCCGACCGACTGATAACATAGTCTTTGAGTTATTACCGGTTTTGTCGAAAAAAGAATGCCTACCACGCAGTCTGCTGAGGGCTGTACCTACCTTTTATTGCTGGATGCCGCGAGACTCAAGGCGCATCAGTAGCTCATCAATGCCTAATCTAAGGCATTGAATCTGCTTAAGTAAGGCATTAATCAATACTAATGCACGTGGTTGGTGACAACAACTTACGGAACTTTTAGGATCTAGCTAAAAGACTCAAGGTGGATCTCAACAGGGCCGTACCTATCTTAGATCGTCATTAGGGGAAAAATCAAATCATACCAAACAGTTACAAAAAAATATTCAATTTGTTATTTTCTCGGACCAAGCCATAAAGTTCATTTTCATATAATTCCAGAAACAGGAGCTACTCGCTATCACATGATCTAATTCCAGAAAAAAGAGCTTCTCGCTATCATACGATGTTCAATCGAGCAAATCTTAGACTGTGCTGGTCGCGGTGATTACCTTCGAGCACTGTGCATGTGTCAAGGAGAAGTCGCGTGAGTTCAGCGGCAAAACGCACGCAGATAATGGGGTAGGCTGATGTAAATAAAAATCCATGCTATGTTTGTATTGTATAACCAGTGACCAAGTAAACAGGTTACTTAGCCAAGCCCAATTGTGGTCAGAAAAAGAAGTGACCTCTCATATTCAAGGAGCAAAGAAGATGGAAGCAGTGGGAATTCTCGTTTTCATGAAGCTGGTGCTGCTAGCCCATTCGATGCTGCCGGGACGACACAAGACGGACATGTTCAAGGAGAGTGTCACCCGGGAGCTGGCTGCTGACGGCCATCGGCTGCACACGCTGGTCTGTCCGGGTGCGCACAGCTTCACCCACCGCGACTACATGCGCCGGCGGCGCCCCGTCATGGCCGGCCACGCGCCCGCCGCCGACATCTACCGGTGCTCCAAGGAGCTGGCGCCTCCCACCAACATCTCCATATCGGCCCAGGTATCGGACATCAGCGCCGTCAACAATGGCCAGGTCACCATCTCGCTCTACCTGAGCTACTCCTGGGAGGAGCCGCGCTTCGCGCACATGAACAACGTCTCCAAGCACGAGTACGTCGAGGTCGCCTCCACGATCAAGGACAAACTGTGGCTGCCCGACCTGTACGTGCCCAACGCCGCGCTGGTCGTCAGCCCCGTCATCTTCGTGCCCACCACCAACTTCCGCATCTACATGAACCGCACCGTGTTCGCCAACCAGTACATGACGCTGGAGCTCTCCTGTCCGTTCAACTACCGCTACTTCCCGATGGACACGCAGATCTGCGACATCGCCGTCATGAGTTTCGGCTACTCGCCGTGCGAGCTGCAGCTGCTGTGGTCCGAGTACGAGCCGCTGAGCTACGCCGAGTCGGAGCTCACCCAGTTCTCCTACTACCTGGTGCGGCCCGAGAAGTTCTCGGCCGAGGAGCTGGGCTCCGACCTGACCGGACCGCTGGAGCGCTCCCAGGTACACATGCACCTGGTGCTCGAGCGCAAGGCGCTCTTCTACGTGATGCAGATCTACATCCCGTCGATCCTGTTCGTGGTGGTGGCGTGGATCTCGTTCCTGGTGCCGATCGAGATGATCCAGGGCCGCATGCTGCTCACCATCACCACCATGCTGACGCTGGTCGAGCTGTTCGCCGCCGGCAGCGAGTACCTGCCGCTGGCCAGCTACGTCAAGGCCATCGACGTCTGGATGTGCGTCTGCTCGTTCCTCACCTTCTACTCCGTGGTAGACTGCCTGGTGGACGTGTGGCAGCACGGGCGCGCCTCGCGGCGGGACGACACCATCGGCACGTTCGTGCTCACCGGCCTGATGCGCCGCCAGACCGTCATGGAGATCTTCCGCAAGAGCGTGGTGACGGAGCGGCGCCGGGCCGAGCGCGAGGAGGCAGAGGCCGACGAGGTGGAGGAGGTGGTGCGAGACCTGAGCCGGCTGCGCAGCGGCGACGAGCTCGACCAGGTGGGCGGCCTGCGCCAGATCGTCCGCAACTTCGTCAGGGACGTGGCCAGCAACGGCAAGAAGAGCGTGTTCGGCTACCCGCTGTTCTTCGTGGTGTTCAACGCGGTGTACTGGTCCGTCTGCCTGGGCACCCAGCCGCCACTGCACGGCACCCGGGGCGTCGTCTACCAGAAGTGAGAGCACTGGGCCGTCTGCCTGGGCACCCAGCCGCCGCTGCACGGCACCCGGGGCGTCGTCTACCAGAAGTGAGAGCACTGGGCCGTCTGCCTGGGCACCCAGCCGCCGCTGCACGGCACCCGGGGCGTCGTCTACCAGAAGTGAGAGCACTGGGCCGTCTGCCTGGGCAGTGGGCACCCAGCCGCCGCTGCACGGCACCCGGGGCGTCGTCTACCAGAAGTGAGAGCACTGGGCCGTCTGCCTGGGCAGTGGGCACCCAGCCGCCGCTGCACGGCACCCGGGGCGTCGTCTACCAGAAGTGAGAGCACTGGGCCGTCTGCCTGGGCAGTGGGCACCCAGCCGCCGCTGCACGGCACCCGGGGCGTCGTCTACCAGAAGTGAGAAACTCGACAGGAGCCGGCTCAGAATGACAGTTTGAACGCCGCTTGGCCGATGTTTGACATGTGTCGATGTTAAAAGCGTGTTTAAGTTTGTGTTGACGAATTCTATTCGTAGCCAGTTATTGACATTCGGGATTTGTGGGAGGGTTCAGCTGTATTTCAGAGTGTCTATGCAATGCCCAACTGATACTACACCATGGCACTCAATCTGGATTCAGCCGGGCGCAGCTGGACTGCCCCGCCCGGTCCGCCTCCCTCCCCGTCCTCCGCGCCCCACCCACCCCGGGCGCCGCCTCAGCCCGCTCCCGGCGACCACTGTAACGTGTGGCCAACGCTCAGCTACGAAAACCCAAATACTAAATAGTCTGTTTTGTGGACACCCTTGTATTGTAAATACAAAATTCCCCAATAAAATAGGTCATTTGATTTGCCACATTGTGCCCGAGACAATCCCTGCTCCTGCAGCTGCGAAATGTTGGAGACTCAGAACCCCGAGATATGGAACGATCCGGTGAGAAATACTAGAGATAGAAACCGGCAGTTGCTAGCGGAGCACACACACTCAATGGAACACTGCATGCATCATGGCTCGGTTAAAGTACGTGCCCCTACCAGCACTGAGATAACTTTGGCTTATAGGTTGAATAGTTAATGAGAGTCCCATGAATACACAATCACAGTGTAAAGTCAAAGACCTGAAATACTGATAGCTGTCCAAAAATGGTACAGTCGGAATCCTACCACGTTAGCAGTCACTGAGATCCAGCAGTCCCGGTAGAATGTTGTCAGCGGCGCGGGGCCTTATGGTGTGTTGCCGGTGGGTGCGGCGGGCAGTTACCGTCTGGCGGCGGCCTGCAGCGGCGCAGAGTGCTCCGACTCCCAGTCGCGCTCGAACACGGCCGCCAGCTGGGCGCGCACAGAGTCGTCGTCGCCGGGCCGGCTGGAGTTCACCACCAGACCGATGCCGCCCGTGTTGACAAAGTAGTCACCCGACCAGTTGGACGTCCCTGTCGGCGCCGGGGGCGTCAGTCTCAGTTCTCTCAACGATAACAGGGTAATGGAGGGAGAGAAGGAGGAGAGAGAGGGAAATGGAGGAGAGAGAACTGAGACAACATATAAGAAGGCGAGGATGGAAGCAGATACATGGGGAGACAGAAGGAGAGGCCATGTCGACATCATTCCGCTGATCTGCTGGCTGGACGCTGGGCGTCTAGCTCGAGTCAGTATTTCGGTACCGCAGGATCAATATAACTAGACTCCCCAGCAGGCCTGGTTGCAGATCAGAAACCTATGCTCTGGACTCCGAGCACTGCCCAGTGAGCGCCTGGAGAGCCGTCCCGGTCCGGCCGAGTACCCACCGATGTAGGCCACCTGGTCCGTCACCATGTACTTGTTGTGGTTGACACGGCTGAACGGTATCTGCGGCCCCGGCTCCATGTCGGGCACCTTGAACAGCCGCTGAAACACGGCACACCGAGCCGTCAGAGACATACTGCACACGGCACACCGAGCCGTCAGAGACACACTGTACACGGCACACCGCACCGTCAGAGACACACTGCACATGGCACACCGAGCCGTCAGAGACACACTGCACACGGCACACCGAGCCGTCACAGACACACTGCACATGGCACACCGCGGTGTCAGAACCGCCCAGACGCACACCGAGCCGTCAGAACAATCAGATCCAGCAAACACTTCGCAACTTAACCCGGCACCGCCTGGGCTATTTCCGTACCCACGACAGCCTGGGGGGGGGGGGGGGGTCGGATCCGACTCCCCCTGTTATCTCGAGAACCAATGGTCGTATCGAGCCCCGCGAGGCGGCGTTCGAAAGGTCTCTACGAGACCTTCCCAAAGCACTCTTAAGATTTTAAGATTGAGGTCAACTTTCGGGTCAAGGTCAGGTCAAAGGTCAAATTCAGGGGTTTTGCATGATTAGGCTTACAGACAGCGGAATCGATAGCTGCTGCTCGAAACTCACCAAAAACTGACCTCAAAGGCCTACTGAAGGTACCATGTGCGTATAGGGGTCATACTAAGTACGGGTCAAGGTCAGGTCAGGTCACGAAAGGTCACGGTTTTCACTTTCTGCTACATGGGCGCGCGACACATGTTTTATGGCTTATTTTTCACGCCGAATCCGATGGTAATGGTTATATGTGACCCCAAGTCACTGTGCTGGTGATAAGTGTGCATTAAAAGCATAAAAAATCGTTTATACCATGCATAACTAAAAGAGGGCCCAGAAAAAGGTCAATTTTTCAACTTTTTATTTTTGACATAAAAATGCACTTTTCTAGACGAGCTTTGTCCCAGGAATCTAGTGGTGCCATTTGTTTTCACATGCGATGTTCAGAAGTGCCTCTAATTCACGAAAATGCTTATGACGTCACCATGCCCTATGCATGTTGGAGCTATTTTTTACAATTTGGGGGTCGAAAATCAAGATAGAAAGTTGAAATTTGGGACAGCTAATGTTCTAATAGAGCTCTATAACATATATTCCGGTTTTTGGAAATTCCAAAATTTTTGGATTTTATCAGCTGTTTTCCAAAAAATAGTTTTTTTGAATTTTTAGGGGTAAAAAACGCATTTTGTGGAAAATCCGAGATAGCCATTTTAAAGAACTCGTTGAGCTGCATCTATTCATGTCCTTAATTCAGTAGGCGGAACTATGGTCAAGCGTACCCATTTTCGGGAACGCATTTTCGTTCCCATGTTTGGGAACGATAAACCCAAATATGGGAACGCCATGTAGGCATTATTTAAAACAAGAAAAAGAACCGTTAAATGACGTCCAAAAAATATAAAACGATCGTGAACCGCCTGATATTTGTCTCAATATTGTTGGGAAAGAGTTTGATATTGTAAGGCCCATCGTAGTTTCAAATCCTTCCCCTATTTCTAAAGCAGTCCATCATCCGGGCCGCGAGCCCAAATTTGGTAACGCTCTCGTACACTGGCGCTGCAAGCGTTCCTTATTATGGGAACGGCGTACCCAAAATTGGGAACGATTTCACCGACGCCTTTCAGAGGCTCTTTTCATTAACAAGCATCACGTACAACGCCGCAAATTATTGTTAACGCAACAATCATCAGATGACCTTTCCGGCAAGACCGTCGCATGTTTCGCCGGGTCTTCTGCGCTCTTATTCCCGTCGATCCCGCAGGGGGCACGCCCCCCTCTGCAGGATTACGTAATTCACAACGCTCAGCGATGTTCAACAAGGTCTTCCATACCTATATCCACCGTCCGCGCCGAGGGTGGAGACATGTCAACGTAGAGTTGCAAAATTTCCCTACCGCACTACCGGCATGCCGGTAATTTTTCACTACCGCAGGTTTTTTCGTGGTATCTGGCATGTCTTGCCGGTAGCATGCCGGTATTTTTGATTTTGCACACAAAAAAATTATCAGCATATGATTCAAACTTTGGACACTAAGAGGCTATTGAATTGTAATAACAGCAATCTTAGCCACTGCAAAATACATTTTGTGGTAAAAGTTCCATATGCCGTATTAAAATTACCGCCAAATTACCGGTATGCCGGTAATTTGACGTTTTTTTTTTTGCTTGGGGCGTGGTAGCATGCCGGTATCCCAGAAAATTTTTGTGGGGCGGGGCGGTGCCGGTAGCAGCCCATTGGGAAAACTTTGCAACTAAGCACCTGTCTGTTTATCACCGATAGTTGACGAGCACAAGGAAGTATCCAAAAATGGGAACGCTGAATATTTTACACCCTTAAAACACCTAGTCCCAATGAAATTCTAGTTTTTTCCTTTCTTAATGAGTGTAAGTGGCAAAAGGCCTGGTAGGATGGGCACGAGGAATGATCGAAATCAGCATAAAAATTATAAATAAGCCACACAGAGCGACCTATATAAGAGAAATTCCCCCAAAACGATAATGCTTAGAAACACGGAAGACAAAAACCACGCTCATGACGCTCCTTATAAAACAACGCTAAACAGCTAGCATCCAAATAAAATATGTCTTTCCGGGCTGATAAAATACAGCTGAATAATTTTAAACCACTGAAACTGAGTTTACAACAGTAGTTCGGTAAATCACTGACGTTCCACGCGGTCGTGCGCCCCGACACCAAAAGTCAACAATATTACCTCGGGACTATCCGCGTGTTCGCTTGCATATGTCAGCATTCTGGTGTCGCTAGTATGAAACTTCATAACCAGGCGAAAATTATTATACTTGACCTCAAAATGTAAAAAAAAAAACGCTTCATTTTCCTTTAAATTGCATGTTAAATGTAGTATAAGCCATGTTTTCACCATTCCGTCATTTCAAAAAATCATTAAAAATATCATTCGACGGTCAATTTCCTTGTTCAACGGTCAGATTAAAGGAAATAGTTCACTTTTAACATGGGGTTTTGAACTGGAATAGCAGTTTCGTAGCTTGAGCTGAGACTAGCACAAATCAGGAGCTTTTACGGCTCAATGATCAGTGATCACCCTAGACGAAGATATTCCATTTCTCCTTCCGAAAAGAGTGCCTTGCAGAGGAATGTGTGCCTTGCACAGGAATGCAGCCACGTCATCGTCAGCCAATCAGCATGCTGCTTACAGCCAATGCAGTATGCGTAGGTTTGAACTACGCGATATGATTGGTCAACGCGTAATAAGCTTCCGCGTCAAACATTATTTTACATAGAATATAGTTCGTCCTATATTAAAATATAGAAAAAATTGATTTGACAAAAAGGTTTTATTTTAATTCATGATCATTTTGAGCATAAAAAATCATAAATCAATAGCAAAATACTAATTTCAGGAAAGTGAACTGTTTCCTTTAAAGATAATTTTATAGAGACTTAGTAGATACTTAAATTAGCGTGCACTTTTTTGAGACGTGATGCACTAATGAGTTTTAGTGGGCGAACGGCCGAAAAATTACCTTCCGTTCTCATAAATGGGAACGCCCGTCCCCATGTTTGGGAACTCCGTTCCCAAAAATGGGAACGTTCCTATATTTGGGTACTCATGACCATAGTTCCACCTACTGAATTTGCAATTTGCTTAAAACCTCGATTTTTGGCGATTTTTTAAACATTTACCATTTTTTGACTAAAAACGCCATGTAGTTACATCACTAAAATCGATATATCTCAAATTTTTTGGGGAATTTTTTTCTTAAAAATTGCACAGGAGACGTCAAATTGATGGGGGAGAAGGTATGCCAAGTTTCAAGTAGATAGCGTAAGCGGCTCATGAGTTATTCAAGAAAAACGGAGGGCGGGGGGGGGGGTCGGATCCGACTCCCCCCCCCCAGGCGGTCGCGGGTTAAAGGTAGTGTGCCACCTTTGAAAGATTTCCCATTTTATTTTTCCTATGATAAGAAGCTTCTGTTTTTACCTAATATCGCAAAAAAATCAAAAATGGGCCTGGAATAGTGCCTTTTTCGCCTAAAAGTTTATCGGTTTTTCGATATGTATAACAGCTGTAGTGGGCTGGCCTGCAAACAGGCGTCGGCAACAATCGCGAATGCGGCGCACATGTGACAATAAGCAAAGGTCATTATAGAGTTACGACGCACGGGAATGAGTTATCAGCTGTCTAATCGTAGACAACACAATGTCGAGCCTTAAACTGTAAGCCTGTATTGGTATTGTTTCTTTTATTTGGCTGTTACACATTAATTTATGGTTTGAAATATTATTTTATGTAAAATAATTGATATGAAACAGTCGTCTCTAAAGTTATGACCCCATCTCACCACATGAAAGTGGCAGAAATGACAATGATCAGCTGACGCATTTTTCTTGGCCGAAGTCGGAGCGCGCGGCCCGACGCACCACCACCGCACCACAAAGTATGAGCAGAAGCCGCGCCCAAAGCCAGGGCCCCGGTAACGTGAGGTAGCCGAGTCGGGGCAGCGTGCGCTGACCCAAGCCGGGGCCGCAGCTTTGGGCGCGGTCTACCGCATCCCCGCGGGCAGCCCCGGGCTATCACATGACACCGGGAGGACGCGCGGCCCCGGCTTGGGTCAGCGCACGCTGCCCCGACTCGGCTACCTCACGTTACCGGGGCCCTGGCTTTGGGCGCGGTCTACCGCACCACCTAACAGGCGTGTTCGAAACCGCAGGAGATGATGATGAACGGGTTTATCGAAACTTGATTGGATGAGCCTATCGGTAATAGCGATTTCAGTGTGTGCATTTATTGTTCATAGTGGTGTGAAATGTGGTTGGGGTACGACCGACAACCCGTCGGGGCGAATTTCGCACTGGGGTACTCAAAATTTGAAGAATTTAAGACGTTTCCATGAGTTTTGAAGGTATGGATAAGTTCTAAAAATCCGGTTCTCCTTATCTGGGCCATTAACTCCATTTGGTCCAGGAAAGCTGGCACACTACCTTTAAAGATTATCGGCGATGTCCATATAAAATGGTATCGACACGCAGTATGAAAAAAAAAATCAAAGAAAAAAAAAACACACAGTCAGGACACCAATGTCCAATAGTTCGACATGACGTTCAACGTTGGGTAAGCCATCCTAATGGAACTGCCGATGGCGACAGGTCGTTATCAAGGAATCGATTATTATCATCATTGACTATTCACAATCGCTCATTATTCGTCCCTCAGTCGTCTACCTACAATCACATTTCGTTGGTGAGTCGCATTCAGCAGACGGCCCCGATTCCACCAGACTCGCCGTCTGCACACGATCGTGGACCGCCTCTCACCGCCCCCCACCCCCCCCACTCCGTCCCACAGGTCCCCGCCCGCGCCGCGTCACTCACCACTGGATGTGCACGTGCGACCGGACGGCGTCGAGCGCCTGCAGCGAGCGCAGGCCGGCAGCATGTCATCGTGCGGTGGGTCACACGCGCCGCAGC